CAAAGAAGGGACAGAGCGTCTTGGATGCAAACAGGAAAGTAAGTCATGGTGACTTGTCTGTTAATTGTAACGATGTGTCTGATGTTAAGCATGACATGGTTGATGTTACTGTTTCGCCGTTCAGGGATAATAGGAACATCAAACTGCCTAAACTTGAACCACGGTGTTTCGATGGAAACCCAGCTGATTATTTACAATTTGTAAAGGAGTTTGAGATCATGTTGAGTAGTATTTTATTAACCGATGAAATGAAGTTAATGTATTTGATGAGGTATTGCACTGGAGATGCTGCAAGAGCTTTACAGTGCTGTAAGTTTATGAAGCCAAAAGAGGGCTACCACTAGGCTATGAGCATATTACGTCAAAGGTTTGGAAGAACTTCGAAGATTGTAGGGAAATTATTCGAGGCTGTTAAGGGTAATGGTGGTCAATTACAGGATGACTCCCAGGCACTCACTGAGTTTTTGGATAATTTGCTGATTTACAAGAATGCATTGATTTCGATGAATCGAATGAGTGACCTCAACTCGAGTTTTATACTAGAAGTAATAGCAAGACGCCTACCTACTCGACTGCAAAGGGAGTGGGTGAAGATAAGCTCCCTTATGGAGGATGAGGGTATCGAGCCAAAGTTCGATGACATTCTGAAACTGGTAAACAATGGTGTCAATCAATCCATGAGCAAGTTTGCCAGTCTATTACATCTCACCCCTAGAATAGAGCAGTCTGAGAGCAAAATGCAATCATTGATGACGGAAGGGCCTCAGAGAGGTGGATATCGAGAAGGCTCCATGATGTCTAGTAATGCATATAGACCTAGTGAGTGTAACAGGTTTCGTAGTACATCCTCAACAGATAAGTTACAAGATGCAAGACAAACACGGCTTTGTTTTACACGTGTGCAAGAGGTGCATACAGAAGTGAACTGTGAACCAGTGAGCAAGTTCAGTGATAAGCTAAATGTAAACTCCAGGCCTGACTCCGAATTGTGTGACGATAACGGTGTTGTGAAGAAGTCTGTAGTTGCAACTGGTAAGCCGTTGTTGAATAGAGTGTCACAGAATAGAGTTACTGCTTCAGAGTGGAGTTCTGACTCCAAAAGTTTACAAAGTATAACTAGTCAGAGTGAAGATATAAAACCTTTAAGGATTTGTGAGGAGGAACCAAAATTGTCTACTTCTGTTATTAAAGAGTTTGAAATTAATGAAGTCGACCAGATAGATGATGGTAAATTGAATATTTTGATAGTGATCATGATAGTGTAGATTTGTCTTTGGTTGATCATGATGAGATGAGGGATATGCCTACTACTGCTATGTTAAATAAAGGTTCTGTACAACTTGAACGTGAAGTAGAAATAAATGCAGATGCAGTTGCAGAAGGTATGGATACTTGTGAGACCGTCAGTGTAATTGATCAGCGTGTAGCCCACCTATCATCAGATGATAGTGCTAAACCCGAACTGGTAGTGAAAGACGGCAGTGGTGGTAATCTTGCAGTTAGACAACTATCTGAAAGCCGAACCACAACAGCTTCTGATCCACCGCTAAGTTCATTGACTGGTATCAATCAGTTGTCGTTGGTGTTGTCATCCACATTGAAAAAGACGCCCATCAACTCAAGTATCTTGTGCAATGACTATGATAGTATTGGTGCGTTTGAAAAGACGAAAGATATTGCTCAGTTTAGTGAGGATAAGCCAAGTGTAAACGAGAGAGTAATTGTTAAATTGACTTGCATGAATAAGGGCATTTCTAGTTTCAAGTTACCATTTGAATGCTATTATCTTTGGTGTAAATTGCTCTGTGCCTACGCTTGGCTGACCAGATACGTTGTATGTTTGTTCCTCATCCATATTCTACGATACAATGACATGAGCATGTTACCGTTCAGATTTGAGGATATGGCTGATACAAGGAAGTCAGCAAATGAACTCTGCAACGATTTTCCAACCTAGAGCGTCAACCTGAGAAGGGTTGTAGGCGTACTGCTGTAAGTCCTACAATTCTTCAAAGGGTAGTGCATCAGTGGGCAGTCCAACGTGCTTGGTGTGTGATTTTGTACATATGTTGATATTCTATATACTGAATTGGTATCATTATCATCTAGCTGTTGGTAATTCTGTTTGTGTCCGTACGACTTCCACTTGGATCAGCAACCTGAGAAGGAATGTAGGCGTACTGCTGTAAGTCCTACGGTTCTTCAAGGGTAGTTTGTCGTGTCAGAATCCACAACATTTGATGTGTTGATTGTACATATGTTTGTGTTAAATAGTTGTGTGAGTTCCAATTATCGTAATTGTTGGTTAATCTTGTTTGTGTCTGGACATTCCACAAATTACAATCGTCAACGTGAGAAGGGTTGTAGGCGTACTGGTGTAAGTCCTGCGATTCTTCAAAGGAATTCCATCGAGACACGATCTGTGAGTTTGTGTGCACTGATTGTATATATGTGTGGTGTGTCATAACAATTGGCGTTTTTGGATCCATTGTGTTTACTCGTTGTTTTCGTACCTTGTTTTTATTGCATAATTTTGTTAAAATTTTCGTCGTGCTTACTTCTGAAGTTGTTTCGAGTCTTCTACATCCATGAATGAATTGATTGATGTTAGAGACAGCAGATGGGTCGTATACGCCGGGGAGGCTATTGCTGAGAATGAAATGCATACGGAGATAATTGTTAGCTGTGGTCCCACACGCCGGGGAGCAAGAGTGTAGATGACTGAGGCTCGCATACGTCACCGTTACTAGAACTGAGGCAGAATGAGTGACAAGCGATTTCAGTGGTAATTGGTAGTGAGTAGATAAGAGGATGTGCGTAGAGTATCGTGAGCTGGTGCTATGGTCACGTTGCATTCTGCAAGAGTCATTCTAGTAAGTGGCGATTGTGTCGCAAGATGTCAAGAGGATACCTTTAACTGGAGGCGCAGGTCGTCATTGGTGTGTGAGATTGTGCTGTGGGTATGCTTGTGGTGTGTTGGCTTTTCTGTTTGTTTTCCATTTCAGCTCTGTCCGTGTGACCCAGGTTCTCGCAATGGCATCCAAGTCAACGTGTATTGGTCGTGATGGAAAGAAGGGATGGATCCCTTTTTGCCGGGGAGTGTCAATGTAGTTAGGGATTGAACGATCAATTCATGGTTGTTTGCTCAAAACCAACTTCCCCAATTTTCGCGGAGGCATCAATACGACAGTCATCGTCTCATCGGTCGCTGTTCAGAAAGAAGTCAGGAGACAACTGTCAGAAACCTTAGTTAAAACTTAATTTAAAGCTGCCCATATGTTGGTGTTACAATAAAGAATTCTCGAGTAGCCAATCGGTGTTTTGGTTTTGCGTCCGTAATTACTAAGCGTTTCTGAGAAACTTCAAGGAACCGCGTGAGTCCCAGTGTAGCAAGAGCTGGGAATTGACGGTTTACGAGACGTGGCTTATTAGCTACATGTGATACGTCTCACGCTTCTCTTGTGGCGGCTACTAGGTTCACTAGAAATTGATCGTGTCTGCTTAACTAGTTGTGAGTTTGGTATATAATTAGCTCAGATATTAGCGAGCTGCCAGTGTACCATGTCAAAACGAGTGACAGCAAATTATCTGATGAATTCACTTGAAAAAGAACTGAGTATACTGAATATGCGTGTAGGTGGAGCTTTAACAGCCGTCTTTTACTTCAGCATCTTTCTTATTGGATACTACAACATTAGAGCGTGGCTTGAGTTCATTTATGACGGAAAAATGGGCACAAATGTGAATTACACGGGATATGTAGCGAGAGAATATGTGGTCATACACTAACGCATAGACAGGTGCATTCACTCGTGCGCTCTTTCTTAAATTGTACAGAACATACATCATACCACAACTTGCTCAGTATCACTGCGCTCTCACTGCTTAGAAGGCACGCGATCCTTTGGGAAAAAGTCAAAGGGGGTGATGTGTCTCTGGAAGAAACAATGTGATTAACGGCTAAGGAAATTAGCCTTACTCACATTTGGCCACCAGCGGCTTAAGTATGACTTGACTTCTGCCTAAAGGATTATAAATGACCACAATCAATCAAACAAAGGTGTTCTTCCATTGAGCACATAAGGGCTTCATCGTGCAAATACCTGAAGGAGAGCCTGCCAAAGGGCAAAGCATCACGTGCGTCCCTGTTTCTTTCCATTACGAGTTTGGAGTCCCTCAAACTTTCTACCAGAGGATTTAGCTATGGCAACGATCGTGGACAAACTTAAGCAAAAGCTGGACAGCCACGTAGTGACTGCTTCCAAACAGTCTATCCTCTTAAAATCTCATTCACTAATAATGAGTAGACATATAAAGCCACCATTTAACTTGTACATATTCTCTTGTTTTACTCTCCTGACTACTTCAACTATCAAGTCCATTAGACCATTATAACTGACATTATATGCATATATATAAATCAACTTCAAATTTCAATTGCTGCCTGTTTTTGTGTTTTCCTTATTTCTTTTTCTGTCCTTTGGTCTGTATAACCTACACAAATCACATCTGTTGATATTATCTTTCCTTTGACTATGATACTGGAGGACTAACTGGTGAGAGAATTAACACCATTCGCAGTAGCAAAACGGTCTTAACACACTGCATACTACAAATAACATAATTAATCTCAGCCCCATTTCTTTCGGAGTTGAGTGGTGGGACGAACTACGCAGAAGATCAGGATTGTTTGTTTCACAACCAAGAAGTGAACACAAAGAAATCAAACTGGCTTACAATAACCCATAAAAACGATATTGGATATTGGACACAGACTTTGAGTTATTTTAACTTCGTGTGGCAAAAACGGTCTTCACGCTACTTCGAAGCGTGGTAAGGTTCTGCAGAGATAAATACTTTGGTTCCCGGGTATTTGAACATATATTCTTCAATGTTGGCAATTTACATCGGCTGTTTAAATCCTCATTTCAATTGCAAAAGACAGATATCCAACTATAACTCGTGGTACTAACAAAATATTGCTTTCTTCAGTCTCTACAATGGTAAGGTTTCAAATGGGAAAACGTTCTAATCTCTCAGGACGTTAAGGTTGCGCGAACTGAAAAGCCTTCATACTATGGAGGAGATAAATTCGATGCAGATGACGAAGGTATGTTTTTTTTGTATCGTACATATCCAATATCAAAAGTGACTCCAAGTCGTTAACTTGATAGCACCCTCCCAAGTCACCCCTATTATTTCTGTTGTTATATTCCTATAACTATGGATGTACTTCCATTACACTATGAAGCTTCTACTTAACTTCTGAGTTGTATTTCAGACATTATTGTTGCCCTTTTAAATAAATATCTTGGTTTTTCATCACTTATGGTATATTTTCTTGTGACAGAGTTGCTGTGAACCAGTTGATATTATTATAACTGGATGCCTGTATCCCTTATATTTGCTGACATTAGATTGAAGAAAAGCCAGTTTATCTACTTTCGTAATTTAGTCCAGTGAACCGTAGTTCTCTGCCAGTTCGTGTATCAATTTTTCAATTCTGACTGTGAACACTGAGTAACCTTTTAACCTATACCAACGTACTTGAAAAATAAGATATTGGTATCTGGAGACAAAGTCTAAAGCGGAACACAAGATACTTCATATAAACTGTGATTAAGATTTAACTGAATAGAACTAGACATATGTAAAAATTATATTTTTTTAAAACTCAACGAAATTGTAATGAGTAAATGCAAACTTTTCGTTCGGCAAACTGGTCGGAGCTTCTGCAGGGAGACTAGTCGAAATTTAAGTAGTAAAGGTTTATGCATAAAAAGGTTATCTGTCTATAAAAACTGTCTTATCATATGAATCATGAATCGCATCAAAATATAATAAACGAAATTGCATGAGTTTTGATCGAAATAGGACGTCAGACTTACAAATATTGGTGTAATTTTGTTAAACACTGTGTATACCTCACATACGTATGTATTTTTTCACATACCGTCGCAGTGTTGTGTGTATGGGAAACATTTGCAAATCACTTGTTACCCTCTCCATAATACGATATAGACAATCGGGAACTTAGATCATGTGTGATAAATTAGTGAGACATATCTATGTATTCATTAGTGAGAACTTGTCATCCGTCAGCTAACATCACACCCTCAAACTTTTGGGATCCACTCATTTATGTAGGGCTCATGTAGTCAGTCTTTCTTTAAATGAAATAAAACCGTTCTTTAGAATCTTTGCCCTATCAAATTCTATCTTGTGTCCCACTTCTATCGAGCGCTATCATTTTACTCTTGCTACTTGAATTTTTCATTACGTTTATTGATTTTCATTTTTCGACTTCATTAATTGTGTTTTTCTATCCTTTTATTTCTTAGAATCCCAGAAACTATATATTAATGATTGTCGACAGAAGCAGGCAGCACTGTACTCTCCTTTTTTATTCAAGTCCACATCAGCACAGCTTCTACTCATGCCTCCCGATTCAAGCGAACTTCTTGTCATGAGTGGCCAAAGTCGTATTCATCTGTATATACGAGAAAATCCAAATGAATTTCTAAAGAATTGTGAAAACTCAGGTGATTCGAGTCATCAAGGTGTTGCAAATCCCTCTGAAGTTGATCTTGTTGTTTGTAAATTGAGTAATGTTTCTATCCCTCGTTTTCCTCAAACTTTAACATGTGAAGCCTCTTTATTCCGTTCACATGGACTACCCTTACTAGTATGGCCCAAGTCACTTGACAAGGCATATATTCAAAAGGTATGCATTGTTTCTACTCGAACTATTATTTTTGTGTGCGGTGTGTAAGAAAGCCAACAGGAAAGTAGATAAATACAATGAAAAATAACGTCTCACCACTGTGAAAGCTAAAATATTCTTGTGTTCCCTTTACATCATGGTGTAGAGAGATTCTTAACAATAGGCAAATAAGATTTTTCTTAAAGACATGTTGCCCAGAACGTCACACTAACACCATTATTGATAAGTAACTGCTCTACTTCATTCGTCATATACAATTATTATTGTTTTCAATGTATTTTGACTTGAACGCATTTATTCAAAGGCAATTTATATTTGTTGTCCCACATTTTTTCATAACATGTTGGGAAACAATACAAAGTTGCAATTACTTTATTTGTTGGGTTCTTCGTTTGGAACTAACTTCCTAATTCGCTCAATATATAACAAGTGATCCGAGAGGGTCTTTTCCTAAAATAGCTTTGATTTCCTCTTCATTATGGGTAAATTTTGTTTGATAAAGTCTCAGCGTTATACAGTAATGTTTACTGATGACGTGTATATTAATGTAGAGCTGAGGCACGTTGGCTTAGGCTTCCATCTTTCAAATAGTGGTTCGTAAAGACAATTTTCAGCAAAGTACAAATCTTTCGCTTTATCATATTAACAGATGAATTAGTACCTGAGAATAATTTGAATGTTTAACAGGGTGTAAAATTAGATAAACATAACTTGATAAGTCAATCTGTAGGTGTGAGAATAGAAAATCACTTTAAATAAAATATTTTGTGATGAATTCTATTGGGTGTTTATGTATCATATCAGCTTGTCATGGATAAAAATAGTTGCACAACACGTTGAAATTTAGACTGAATTCAGTGTATAAAATTATTGCGTCGACAGCTTTAGTGTCACTGACATTTCTCTATCTCAACACTGACCTAATCCGCCAGGATAATTTCAGTGCTCAACTGAATTCTGTTTAGTGGCATCTTTCTTTAGATTTTCTTAGGGTTTTGTCACTCGAGTCACGGTCGCTTTTACGACTATAGTAATTCTCTTCGTGTTAAAGAGTATTTTGATTCTTTCTATTTAAATCCCTGAAAATAGTGTCTACAATAGTTATTCATTTAGTATTTAGATGACAACTACCCAGATTGCGGCTGTTGGTTTCGTGAACTGGATAAAGTTATTGGATGGTTAGAACAGAAATGGCGACCATTAACCCGGAACTTGGGAATTACTGGTACCGACGCAACTACTGATGGTATTAACCTGGAGAAAAGTTCGTGTATACGCGGTTTCCCAGAACAATGTGTTGCAATGCTTTACTTGAGGAAAAGATCAATGCAGTACGAAAGGTATGTATTATAATACTAAAAATACGAATGCAGCTTCAACATGTTTCGTGGGTAGAGTATTGTAGGCAGCTGTTTACTTTGTTCAGCTAAGTCTAAGCCTTTTAAGAAAGACAGGATTTTTTCGGTAAGGGTTTCCGAGAACTTAGCTATCAGTTTTTGGCAATTTGTCATGCTCAAAATTATGAAATATAGAACAGATAACTTATTAAATTCTTAAAAATAGTGTTTTACGAGTTTTGTGTCCCTGTCTTTAGAAAGTACGGGAATTAAGTCGTTGAACTTTATTCATGGGGTCCCATTCTAATCTGTATCGATCTTAGGGATTAAACCATGCAAAACTGACCGTTATTTGTAGCTAACAACTATCGGTCAAATGAATATACCATTGTATAATGACTACCAATAGTAATGGAGATGGATATTATGATTGTCGATAAAGTGTGTGTTCGTTAAGAACACTGATTTTGATTTTTCTTACGGTGGAAGTTAACAGTGGAATCTGAGACGCGTGTTTCGTCCGACATGGGGATCGTCGACTAAGTGTATTTACATTTTGGTGAGTGATGGCATCACCACATTCAGTACTCAACAGGTCAGATGTCTAGGCTCGTATGGGAGTCGTCTATGAAGTCAGATATGTTAAAAACCATTTTCTGCCACTCTGAAGATCACAATCTATTTCTAACTAGCATGAAATTCTGATCCAGTTATCGTTTTTATGCTATCTCGTATCTTTTCTCCATCACTCAGTTGTGATAGAGTAACTGTTTGCAAGACTTCTGCGAACTGTAATCGTGTTTTAATTTGTAATAATTTTATTCTGCTTTTTGGTGGGAATCATGATTTTTGTTCTAAATAAATCAGCACAGGTAGGTTGGTCATACCTAATAATTCAGTTAGATATGAAACCCAGCTAGATTAAAGGCTGTCTGTAGATCTACTCAGGGAAGAAGTATCTTAACAACGATAAGTAGAAAACCGAGAAAACACCTTACTGTGTGATAACGTACAGTCTACCCAAATGACACCTATTCACCTGATGATCAGTAACTATATATTTACAGTATGTTTTGCGTGGCACAGTTGCCTAGGCGACAGTGCATTGTGAGTCGGTGGTTTCTATTCTCCATCCGACGCACGCCTAAACGCCCTGAAAAGTTCGATGTGTGACCGGAAGCGCGACTCGTAAAACAACACCACTGCTACTGAAACTTCAAAAGTCTAGCTTGAAGCCGTATGTTCCACTAAGGACTCGAAGATTAAAGAAAAGCCTTTTATACAATAAATGATCTTAGTAATGTTACTAGATTGGCTTAATCATATATCTGTAACTACCCACAGAAGTGAATCATTATAAGTTGTCAGAAAGTTTGTGTTGTGTAAGTACCAATAGAGGTGTGACATATGGAACTCCTGATTGTAATTGAAAAGCCAGAGCAACACATGATAACTTGCGATACCTCAGACAAAAGATACATGTTAATTTGACCGTTAAAAATTGAGTGCACACAGTTATGGCCTATTATTATTATTATTATTATTATATCCTTTAGTTCCTAGAGGAACATAGGGCTTCAGCTGCGCACCTCCATTGCCTTCGGTTTTCTGACAACTTTTTCACCCTGCTCCAGGTCTGTCCACATGCTTTCATCTCCTCCTCGCATGATCTCCTCCAAGTCACCCTTGGACGACCAACTCGCCGCCTCCCTTTCGGGTTCCATTCGAGGGCTTGTCTAGTGATGTCACTTGATGGTTTCCTCAGCGTATGACCAATCCATCTCCATTTCTTTCTGCCTATTTGTTTCACAATCGGTTCCTGATTGGTTCGCTCCCAGAGATCCCTGTTGCTGATCTTTTCTGGCCATCTGATCTTGAGTATTAAGCGGAGACAGCTGTTAATGAAGGTTTGGAGTTTGTTTGAGATGCTCTTTATGACTCGCCAAGTCTCTGATCCGTATAGTAGCACTGACTTCACATTAGAGTTGAAAATCCGGATCTTATTTTTGATGCTGAGTGCTGTTGACCTCCACACAGATTTGAGAGTAATGAAAGCTTGTCTTGCTTTTCCGATTCTGGCTTTGATGTCCTCGTCAGTTCCGCCTGTAGTTGAGACGATGCTTCCCAGGTAGGTGAAGGAGGTTGTTTCTTTCAGGTTCTTCCCACTTATGCTGATTGTTGTCTGTTGTTGCTGTTGATGTTGGCTAGGAATCTTCATCATCTCTGTTTTTTCTATGTTCACGTGAAGTCCTATCTTTGATGCTTCTTCTGCCAACTTGTTACTTTTCACTTGCATATCTTCCAGTTTATGGGAAATCAGACATATATCATCGGCGAAATCCAGATCTTCCAAGTCTTTTGTGTGAGTCCATTTTATGCCTGTTTCCTCATCGCCCTCCGCTGTTTGTCGCATTATCCAATCTACTGCAATCAGGAAAATCATTGGTGATGGTAGACAGTCTTGCCTCACTCCCGTCCTCACTTCGAAGGCTTCCGTAAGTTTCCCGTTGTGGATTACTTGGCATGCAGCATTATCGTATAGCTGTTGGGTGAGATGTATAATTGTCGATGGGACCCCGTAGTAGCGAAGTAGTTGCCAAATCACCTCTCGATCGACGCTGTCGAAGGCGTTTTCAAAGTCGATGAAGTTGAGATAGAGAGGTGACTGCCATTCCAAGCTTTGTTCAATGATGATCCGTAGAGTGGCGATTTGATCGACACATGATTTGTTTCTCCTGAATCCGTCCTGTTCCGGTCGAAGTTTTTCATCCAGGGCTTGTTTGATTCTCTCTAGGATCATGCGACTTAGTATCTTGCTTGGAATGGACAGGAGCATAATTCCGCGCCAGTTTTTACATTGACTTAAGTCTCCTTTCTTTGGAAGTTTGAATAAGTATCCGTTCTTCCAATCCTCGGGTACTTTGCCCTCTTTCCACACCTTCTCCAGCAGTGGCGTCATCAAGTCCGCTGTTGTCTGTGGGTCTATTTTCAAAGCTTCTGCTGGGATTCCATCTGGTCCCGGTGTTTTCTCAGCTTTAAGCATCTTGATTGCATTCAGGACTTCTGATTTCGTCGGGGGGTCAGTGTTCACTGGTAGTTCTGCTTCCGTTGTTGGTATTGTTGGGCGCGTTGTAGGTGGCGACGATTTAGAAGTCTTTTGAAGTGTTCAGCCCAGTGCTTTCTCTGTTCCACCTCTTTGGTGATTGACTTTCCATTGTCGTCCTTTATTGGCTTAATTTGTGTCGAACGTTTGCCCGAAAGGTTCCTAGTTGTTTGGTAGAGTGTGGCGATTTCGAGTTTAGAGTCTCCGGTGGTTTGTGTGTTTTGTCATAACTATGCGTTTTATTAGTGTAAGAGTGGCTACTATAGTAGAATTCGTCATCAATCGTTTTGAACAACAGTTCGTATCAGGTAGAAAGGCCACTTAACTGTAAAGACACATTCTAAAACGATGGAAGTTATCTTTCAATAAGTGACATCTTAACCCCTTGTACTTACTTTGGGAATATTGTCCCTGTCACTCTCAAGGGTTGAATAGTGGTCAATCTATGATTTTGCGTTATGGAATGTAGTGTGATCTTTTTGCGTTAGCTTGTCTGCTCACCAAGACTCCTCAGGTACAGTCTGAGAAATCATGTTACGGCAATGCAATTTTGTATCCCTTCTAGAGAAAGCGTTCCAAAATAATGGAAAATTCTTTAAGTGTCCTTAGTAAAGATACTTGCTTAAATACGTTGTATAACCATATATCTTCTATCGTCATACTATTACAGTAAGTTGCGTAGCGCATTTATTGGTGTTCACGTGTATTAAGTTTGTGTATAAATAATTAATTATTTGGTTAGATTTCAGTTAAATGTGATAGATTTTTCGAGTACCAGACTGTGTGTCACACTTGTTGAATGAAGACCGGTGATAATTCCCAGTCTCTTGGACTAAACTAAGTAGAGAGAGATTCGAATCACGGGCCCATCATTGAACTGACAGAGAAATTTAGTATGTTGAAATGCAACTTTTCCATTTAATTAAAATAGCTTTCCGATGGATTCTTCGACAGTATTGTAGAATCACGCGAAAAGAACCTATAGTGATTTCAAAACTCTTTCCTACCTGAAGGGAATAGATGTGGGGTATAGATCGACTGCGAATGTTCCACTCTCTAATTTGCATAGGACGATATACCACTGACTGATTAAGATTAGTTTCATACCACTCATATCAGCCAGTAGTTCTTGCTAGCCAGATCGAGGTGATCTAAACACGGGACAGTTGTTTCGCTCGATTTAGGCCGGGCTTATCAGCAGTGTATTCAGTTTGACTCAGCTCGGAATACCGAATCAGTTCAAACCACGCGATTTCTGGTTAGCTATTTGTTCAAACGGGTTATTGAGTTCATCCTGATTGACTGACTGAATTTTCAAGGTAAAACTTTGCATAGAAGTGCAGCAGTTCAAGGTGTCACACTTCATAGAGCACATATAAGGGTAGGGAACAAAATAAACATTAAAAATCTATAATAGACGAAAATCTGTGGCAGAAAAAAAATAATTGCGTGGTGATACAGCGTGGATGGATCTGCGCCATTAAAAACAATTTTTGAGCTATGTCACCAATAGTCGTCACTCATTGGTTATTAGCGTTTAGAAGGCCCTAGCAACTCAGTCTGGCTTCTGCTCACTTGCAGATAAATCTTTCTCCTGGTGAAGAGGTGCAATGAGGATTCGAATCATGCTGTTTACCATTATAACAAGCAACATTTCGCTTACCACTGATGTTTTCTAGTGAGCAATGGTCTTGGGCGTAGCTCAGAATATCAAAGTGATTACATACTGTTATTCTGTCTGATAGTGTCTCCACTATTCCTCTTTAGTTAGTTCTACTTGGTTGATTATGATCCTCAAAAAGTCATTCTTCATGTTGATTGGCTTATTCTTGTGTGAGTTTTCAATACTTTGAAAGTTCAATTCATCTCTTTGGGTAATTGTTGTGTTTTACTTTACTGAATGCTTAAGCTCGTCAAGTTAGTGGTCAGTCGACTGTCGTGAAGAGAGTTCTTTATACATAATTTTTCTGCTCTAGAAATTGGTGATCATCCTGAGTTCGGCTTATATTTTAATTATTCCTTCTATAGTCTGAATAAACACAGTTATTTTCTCCTTTGTCTCACCCCTCTGCTCACAGTTTCTATTATGCTTTTCTTATACTTTCTTCTCTTGCTTCGCGTGCTACACGGAGTGTGGCGACTTGAACTTCCGCACATTTGTGCAAAGTTCTATGTCGAAAACAGACAGACAGACCTAATATGTATTCTTTATGAGTATCACCTTTGTACGAGGACTGTATATACAACTTCCAGTAACAGTCACTTAATTCAGGTGAACGTTTGTTAAAGAGATTCATCTAATCAAGTGTATTATAGATGAAATAATCAATGTCAAATTTAATATGGGAAACATGAAGGTACTATCCAACGGTACCGTTTCACTTTAGGGTTCCTTCCATAAACCTACATTCAACTTTGGGATCTATACTTTTATAACTGTTTTAAACATTTTTTCATTCCTTCGCGTTCATGGTGGGAATTAAGTAAATCATCAAGCTTAAGCACTGAAGTTTTAGTAGCGGTGGTGTTCTTACAGGATGAATTTGCTAGTCTCATGCCCAACATTATAACTTTGCCAGGCTTACCACCTTCTGTGAACAAATATGGGTGTTACTTAGCAACCACTTGCAATTCCATGCAATTGGAAATGAGCCTCACCTATTGTGTGAGGTCCAGCTATGCTGTCTGGCTACCTAAACCTAGCTGGGTGGGGTGAGGTTCGAACCAGTAACCCTCTGGTTTAAAGTCGAGCACCTAGACTAGTACGGTAGAGCTTCACCATCACCGGCCAACCGAAGTCTAGGAGGGCGTCGTTCGGGAATCTGACCCGTACCACTCACGTGGTCGGTGTACATTCTGTCATTGGAAGACCAACTCACGTTTTAAAACATTAAGCAAATGAAACAATTCCAGACTTTACTGCCCGATTCAGTTTAACATTCTTCCCACGTTTCTAATATTGTGACAGGTTATTATGTCCACAATTGGCAGTGGGAAAAAGAGCGAGTTTATCTGCACTATTATATTTGGTTTTCACCTTCATCTATGCAATGATTTCTGAAAACAGTCAAGAAAAGCCACCTTTCTCCATTCGACCAATGTCAACGGTCATCTTTTAATCTGGCTACTTCGAGGTTTTTCGCTTTCTGTTCTTTATCTAATAAAGATGGTTGGTAGGGTTCCATACTTCTTCAGAGCATGAAACACACCAATCTCAGTAAGCTGAAGAATTAATTTTTTTAGCTGCAGAGAGTTTTCACAGTCATCATTTTCATCAACTTATTTGGTTCATTACTTCAAGAACTACTCAAATTAATTTATTTAGCGTAACTAAGATCCGTTGAATTTTCAATTATCAGTAAAACCTGATTTAAAAAGAAATTTTTTTATTCTACAGGTATGCTAGTCTACTACAGTCTTACTTTACTCATCGTCTACAGTATACTCCAGCCTTTCATCATAATTCTATACATCGGGAACTTGTAGAACATCACAAAGTAAGCGGATATTTCCCACTTTGTTTGTCTTTCTCCCCTGTATTGTTGGTGTATATTTGTCTTTCTCATTCATCTTTTGGTAAAGTGCCCTTTTATTAAGTCACTGAAATAAATTACGTATTAGCATTAATTAAGTTGAATTAACAAAGTACATTTTCTAAGAGGAAAAACAGGAATTTAGCAAATTTGTATACTGTATTATTTGAAGAATAAACGGAATATCAGTGGTTTATAAAATAGCACCAATGGAATTGAGTAATTATTCATAGATTAGTATTAGGTGATGAGACAAATTTCGGCAGGTAAAGTTGCTACCACTTACCGTCGTCTAAGGTGATGATGTAAATGGTAAACACAATAGCAAAAACTACAAAAATTCAATTTTTCCTGACAAAAACATTCAACTTGTGGTAGACTTCATAGTATCGCTTGTATCAGTTACATGGAGTCTGACTAGTGTTTTCTAAACCGTTGTTTCTGCAGTGCACAACTACTGTAGTTTCATATAGCTAGAGATTTAAACAGCTATTTCATCCTAGTTTGAGACTGTTGATTAGAGCGTACACACAGTACTGTGGAGGATCGAAAACAACCATCAGATTACCAGGTGGTCATGTTATCATTCAGTTGCAGGTTTGGAATCCTGCGTCTCCCGATTTCCAATCTGTGGTAATTTGTGAAAAAGTAAACGTGATTTCAACCCACTATTCATGATTGAATTTGAAATTGGTTTCCTGGAGTCGTGATACTTATGAATAATTGAATGATAGTGGCACTATTTGGCAGTAGTTGGGAGCCAGTGGGCGGGCATTCAGTTCCGGTCAGGTGGTAAAATTGTGACATATTTGCTTTTTACCGTGATTGTCCTGGGCTAGAGATAATCGGTGTGTATTACTGAAGAGTTCCAAAGTAAGACGAAGCGCATATATATTTTGCTACTCTGTCCCCAAGGCTCGCTCAACTTGGCTTAATTTCTTGATTAAAACAGAAAATTAATTGTTTCCTTTAACTGTTTCTGATTACAATTATTATCAATATTTTTTACTTTCTCCTTAGGAAAGACTTAGCTGCCTAGCTGAAGATGCTGGATTTTTTAATGTAGTTGGGAATCGTCTTATTCAGCTAATCAATAAAGCTTTATCGACTGGAAAGACGCTTACTCTCAATGTAAATAACTTCACTTCAAGTATTAGTGATCCAGTTGTAAAGGAACAATGGTAAGATGTATGCTTTTGTATGTTACCCGTCTTACGAAATGTTCGTGGTTTAAGTCTTTTGTTGTAATATTCCTCTTTCAGAGCAGATACTAAATTGAAAATTTTGAGTTGAATTGTCTCTACAAAAAAAAAACAACAACTAATTTCATGGAAGTGTTAGTCATTTTCTGTTTGCTCAATAATTGCTTTTTGAACAGGCTTTTGTCATTCAGTTTTGGTGTATGTCCAGTAGACGATTCGAATTAACTCAATTATCAAAGTGAACTAAGGCAATAAAATATAGTAAGAATGATTAAAACAGCTTTTATCGGTTGTATTTAAATTACACAAAGTTTGGGGTATCATCTTGCTTAAAAAGATGGTTCTGAAATAAGGGGAGGGGATTTTTTTACAACTCAGGTGGATGTATTTGATGTTGTCGTGTCCTCTGAACAAGACAGTTCAGTTAATAAGCTTTCACTGTCTTTTTAAACAAGACCATCAGCATTTTACTTCAATATAAATTGAGCTTTCTCAGTTCTTCATATATATATATATATATATATATATATATATATATATATATATATATATATTATATCTGTTTTTCCTGATTCTCCGTGAGGAGTTATTTTCAAATACTGTTCGATCGTATTCATATTAAACAAGAAATTCATTGAAGCCTAAAAGGGAATTAGTAAACGGAGACTGAGGACTGATAGTTTGTATTGTGCATTAAACCTGAAAATGACTGTACTAGCCTAAATGTACATAAATCGACATAGGGGAGTAGTAAGAGCGGCAAAGTGCTTGACCGAAATCCGTATGGTGTAAGAAAGCGAAAGCAAAGTGAAGTAACCAAATTTGTATAATGGTGAAGATGGAGTAGAAATACAAAGATCGGGTTCAAAGTTACTGATGGGATCAATTTTCGAAAGTTATTCATCGAACAGAAAATTCCCTTTGCTTTGACATCTTCCTTCCTTTTAATACGCACTGTGGGAATTTTACAAACACTAAACTTGATTCTTTTCTATTTCATCAGCTAAATATGGCTTATTGTAGTGGTTTGAATTTGAATTCAATAAAACTGTCTTATTTTTCAAACTGTTGTTCTCTAGTTGGTGAAATTTGTCGTCTGTTGATGTATTAGTACTGAGGAACTCTCAACTTTGCCAAAGTTAAACTATAATAGTCAAAACTACAGTGACCTTGAACGACCAATCAGAATTCAGATGCCACGGTACACCGTATATAATGGTGTATCTTCCCCTCCTTTGCTTACTGAAGCTGGAGTTCCTCAGGGTGCTGTTCTCTCGCCGTTTCTCTTTTCCTTCTTCTTACATGACTTACCTCTCTCAGACGAAATCAACCTCGTCAAATATGCAGATGACCTGACTGTTTCGCTTCCCGTTAAGTCTCAGTCAGACTGTTTCAAATTAAATAGCTTCCTGTCGGACATCAGTCAGGGGTCTAAACTAAATGGCCTCATGCTGAATCCCTCAAAATGCTAGACTATTGACCTCCCCTTTAGGCATAAACGAGATTTACAAACACTAGTAAGTACTCATGAAGCCTGTAGCATTGAGGGGACTAAAATTGAAACTAAGTCTAATGCAAAATACCTCGAATTAGTAATATCTTCCGACCTTACATGGTCATCTTATATCCAACTGATTTCTAAGAAAGTGTTTCGTCTAACCTACTACATTAAGAAACTCAGACTAACTGGAGTCCCACAACCTCTGCTTACACAATTTGTCAACTCTCGTATCTTACCTATTCTACTTTACTGCTCCCCATGAGTCTTTCCTGGGCTACTGAAAAAGGACTATACCATCCTGAGGAGGATGCTGAAGGTAGTTAGTAGGACTAGTGGTGTAAAACTCAGTCAACTCGTCATTACATTAGTCGAACGGCATCTGAATACATGCGAGAAATGGTCTAAAACCATACTCTCCGACTCCCAGCACCCCTTCTATTCTCAACTCTCTCCTTGTATCTCATCAGGTAGAACCAGAAATCAGTACAAAATAATATATGCTCGTACAACCAAGTGTAGGAACTCAACGATATCATATTTGGCCCGTGTTCTAAGCGACAAAGACAATGTTAAGCGCGAAACCTATGACTTGCTTTGTTGTTAATAACATAATTTTGGCTCTTTTATTTCTCTCTTATTTGTATTCTATAGTGAACACTTTCTTAAACATACTTAGCTACCTAAATTATTAACATTGGCTTACCTTTTTTTGTACTTTACTCTATTCCTTCTTTTGTATATCTACTAGGTCCGACTATATTATCACTATGATTATTACAAAATTGTCCTGTCATTAACCTTCATGTAATATTAATTTTGTGGTTGTTTTTTGTTCGGCAATATAAACTGACAATCTTGTTGTGAATGCCATTATTAACACCTTAAAAATTTTGTATTATTCAGGATTACTCACACTACAACTACAAACACCGCATTAGAGCTGACAATAAAAAAAACACAACCTGAAAATGTTTATTATGATTGTTTAGTGTTGTTCAATCAAATTAACTGATCATGCATAGTCATCCTTAATATCATTTCATAACTTCTTGTATGATATACTTTTAGTGTTCACCACGCATAAACATATCATAGCTTCCACTACCCAATACTGAGATATTATGTATTATGTTGTTTATTTTCCATTCTACTTCTTGGTAGTTTTTCGCATTTTTTTTTGCTATTTAGTTTTTTTGTTGTGTTTTTTATATTTATTTTTTGAAATACTCCTTTTAAATTTTTGATAAAATGAGATGCAATATTGTAGATAAGTGCTGAAAATTCCACACTGTACCATTAGTACTGTTTCTGGAATAAAGCAAATTATTATTATTATTAATATTATTAAAGAAGTCGAATAGTCGTTGAAAAATACACTAAAATATATTGCAAGCATGATGTTACACTGTATATGTTTAGGTTATGTATTGTAAGAATGTCTCCCAATCATTACACAGATGGTCTACAGAAAAATCGTAGCATGCGTTCATTCAGATAACTGTAGGTTATGCACTTTGAGATCCATCGATATTTCTGACACAATTCTTCAACCCACTTCCAACTCTCTAACCCTAGACCCTAAACTTTAATCTAAAAAGCCATAACCCTACCTAACAGTATAAATTTGCAAAAAACGTACCTAGTAAACAAGTGGAACACTGTATCTACCCTGTCGATGTTCAAAAAAAAGCACACATAACTTCATTTAGAATGACATTTCATAGCATTCCCTGTGACTCATCGGTTCTCGAAGGTCAGTTTTTCAAAGACCTTGACTTTGGTTATGATACTTTAACTTTGCCACAACTTTTCTTCTGACAAATTATACCACCTGTCATCTATGGTTGAACCTCTTTCCCCATCACAAATCCACTTTGAAACAAGTTACTAACATATTTTCTTTTCAATTTTAGCTTACATGCTTTGCTACCTAAAAATGAAGTGAAAAATATCAAACAAAAGATAAGTATGACAGTATTTCTCATCAGCTGTTTAATGTTTTATGAAATCTGCAATTAAATGTTTTTTTATCTGATAATATATTCGATGCGTATTAGATTGTTATTGGTTATTGAATAAATTACTGAAAGTCATTTCACTGAATTTCATGAGGTTGAAACTCTTATACTTCTTCTTGAGAGAAGCTACAAACCTTCAAATTTCTTCGTTAGAGAGGGAGACTCAGTTATCTTTATACTGAAACATGAAATGTAGAGACAATACACCACGTTTTCAGACTATTCCATGTAGACTTCTGACTGACTGACTGTTTTCAGGGTAAAACTTTGCACAGGTGTGTAGCAGTTTGAGCTGTCACTCTTACTCCATGTAGCACACAAAGCAAGAGAAATGAATAAAGGGAGATAGTAAACACAAGTGTGATGGAAAAAGAATAGTAATGTGGTGGAAGAACAATAGAGTTTTATTGGATATAACTGACAAATCACAAAGAGTGAACGCGCATCTGCTTCAGCTACTGGTAACGAAGATTTTGAGCCATATCACCAATTGTCTCCAGTCTTTGCTATCCCGAGGACTCCAACCAGGAAGTCTACACTTCCAAACAGGACTAGCTGGAACTAACTGTTGCGAATTTCATTGACTGATGAAGCCACGTTTTGTTTTGAACACCTCTTATCCTTTTCCAACCTGATACTATTTCAGCTAACATTGCCCGTTGAGGAAGTTGATGACTTGGTGTGCGTGCGTAACACATGTCCTAACCATTTCAATCGGTGTAACTTCATAGCCTCGTTGATCGATTCCCCCTCCTTACCCAGTACTCGACACCTAGCCTCGATATGTAGGCTTCTACAAGTTTATCTCTGCTAATACAGTAAATTAGACGTCTACTATCTCAAAATATTACCTCTAACATTATCACGAAGCAGGTTCAGAAAACTTAATTTCCGAAAGCAGATATGATTTTGAAACACTCAACAAATGTTAATAAGATGACTGATAAATAAACTACAATGAATGTTTCACAGGTTAACTCCAGACAGACAAATGAGGGTGAAGGGGTTTTGATATACTGAGTTGTGAATCAACTAATTCGCGTTTGTAATTGTAATGCTGTAAAATTGTGCAAGTGTATTGACTTAAGAATTTGTATAGTTGTACATAGTAACTCATGTTTCCTCATAACACTAGTACTATTGGTATCTGTCATGACCTTGTGTTTAAAAAAAATGTATTTTAACCATTCGAGTTAATATAATTAATTCTGGTTATTGAGTCCAACAGAAAGTTATGAATTCATTTACAGAGGTTCGATAGCCTGTTTTCTTGAGAAATAGTAGATTAAGTTCTAAAGTCCAGCTTAGATTTCTCTGCGGAAATTTAGTTTTATTTATATTACCTCCTTAGTAAAATTTAGGTAGGCATCTTCAATATTTTGAGTCAAATAAAGTGAAATCTTTGCAAATTATGGGCTATCCGAGTAGTTTCATAAAGAAACATATGAGAACATCAGAGAGAAAAGCTTAAGACTGACTGCACGTAAAAAGCCTCTATTTATTAAGTTACAATTTAATGGTGACTTATCGAATGAGATTTTGTTCCAGAGACTTTCCAGGAGTATACGAAGAACGTTTTACGCAGCATACCTATGTTTGTCATTCTCTAGCCGACGAATGATTGGGACGCAAACGAAGGAGAAGCTTGATAGTTTTGCCACATCTATGTGCATTTATCAATTCAACTGCACCTGCGGTGACAGTTATGTTGGGCACATTACTACTAGATAGCTTAGCCAACGTGTTAGCGAACATCCCCCATCGTGGTTTGGCAAAAAACAGATAAAAACAATCCGTAGCTCAATCTGTCACATTTAATTGATAGTGGTCATGTAGTCGAGAAAACGAAAGCCTTCAAAGTAATTCATCGTATCCCACTGAATCTTTCCAATAGACTTCGTATTCGTCTACTGCTCACAGCTGAGGCAGGCGATAGGCATTCAAACTATTAAACCTAAACTATGCATTCAAAATAAGTTCGTACAGCCATTATCCCTCCCTTGTTGGCCTATTAAGACATGACCAACTAATGACTTCTACACCACCTCTTGTTTATATACTCAACCCCTTTATTATCATCCCTTAATCTTATCACATCTTCATTAAAAACGTGTTTCATTTGTGTTGTTCTAAATTTTCCTATGGGAATATTTAATATATAATATTATGCCTATCTACTGTCTCGTCCCGTTTCTTTTAATAACAGAGATCCTAGATGAGTTGAGAATAAGGTTAACTAATGTCTGCTAGAATCATATATTTGTAAAAACTGTTTTTCTACTTCGAACGATTCGTGTTTTACAAAAATTCTCAACTAAAAATGACCCATTGATTGATAGAACGACATCTATTTTAATCTGTTGTGGACTCATTGCAGGAGAATGTCATCATGATTTAAACTGAAATATATATATATATATATTAGAGTTAAGCCTGATGAGATCTAATTGAAAACAATATTGTTCGCTTAAATGTGTTGTTCTAAATTTTCCTATGGGAATATTTAATATATTGAAATTATACTTCCATCACTTGATATATTTACATAAACAAAATGTGCAGTCCAACAACTACTCACCAGTTATCACTTTAGTCAGTGTGATGAACATCTGTCTTGTGATCGTTTTTCACGACCTGCATATATTGTCGAATGGTTGCAAATCTTTTTTAGACCGAAAAAGCGTCGCTGCACATAATACATAAAGTGATTATTATATTGTCTCTTCGTGGATAAAGAAAATAGCTTGTACCAGGTAATGGATAACATCATACTACATGGCTACCCGAAAATTGGTAGATCTTATTTAAGTTTAATCCACTTACTTCATGTTCAAAGCTATAGTATCTAATGTGCAGTGAAAAATACTTGTAAATAGGATTAGGTAAATTTATAAATGCTCATGAATTCGTGAGTTACTGGGATGATTGTCTGTTAAATGATTTTTCATGTTAAAATAACAACAGCTTTTATCTCTTATCTTGTTTTTTTTTCAGACAAAAAGTCTCCGTACTACAGATCACTATGATAGTGATGCCAGGTAATTTTCCGATGTCCAATTATAAGTTGATTTTGTTTTTGCTGTATTTCTTTTTTTTTTCTCAGCATAATATGTGTTTTTTTTTACTTTTCCTTATGACACTGTTATGCATATTTTATCTGATTTGCTAGTCTACTCAAGTCTGATAGTGAAGGAAGCGCTTCACTCTCAATATATCCTTGTGGTAGTTTTTTCATTGTAACTTTAATAAACTTGAACAAAGCAAGAACAACAATTGTACCAGGATAATATGAGCTCATCTTTTATTATTATTTCGAGGATTCTTCTCAACTGGTTACAACCTGTGAACGTTAAAAAATATGAATTACATTAAAGATATGAACATACTTTTCCACGATCATAAGGAGTAATTGGTAGGAATTAAAAGTAACAATAGTCCGGAATGATTTAACTGATTAGGAGTTACAAACACTGACTATTTATAGAACAATTAGACAATTAGGCTTGGATCCAAAAAAACAATGTTGCGTGTATATATGTGTGTATAGAAACAAGGTTTAGCTAGAAAGAACACAACAAAAAAGTAGATTACGTAACTAAAGAAAGCATCTTATCTAATAGCCGATACAAAAAAGGAAAGAAAAGAAATAAGGTAGGGTGAGTCATGTTTAGATGAGAGTGTAGAGTATTCTAAACATGAAAAAGGTGACTCATGAAAGTTGTATATATATATATTTTTTTTTGTTATCACCACGGTAGTCCAAGATTCACCACTGTCCCTTTCTGCGTACATAGATTTGGTTTAAGTCGTTTGATGGCAGTTGCTTCAGCGAAGCGTAGCAAGCTAGTTTTCTTTTGCTTGTTGATTATTTTAAACGACTTCAGGTTGTCTACAATATGACCAGTGTCCAATAGATGACGAGCAATCGCAGTGTTTAATGCTTGCGGACCTTTCAGTCTCAGGTTCTTCGGTATGTGTTCTTAAATGCGAACACTAACCCTTCTCTTTGTTCTTCCAATGTATGTGCTTTGGCACGTACATGTAAATTGGTAGACAGTTGGAGGTTATATGAGGTGGGTGTTTGTCCACTTTTGATTGTCGCAAACAATTAGTTGTTTGATAAACACATACAAGCTTGGCCGCTGGATATGTTCTCTTCAGGGCAGCGTTCAGTCTGCATCTTATTCTACTACCAGTATCATCACCTTTGAATGCAAGCTGCAGAAAGGTAGGCTTTTTTATCTACTGTGCTGCTTTTCACTTTTTCAACATGACATCGCCCATACTTGTCGATGAACTTTTGTGGGTAACCGTTTTCGCGTAGGCATTTCTCCACAGTGGATAGCTCTTCCTCAATCTTTTCTTCTGGACCCAGTTTCCTCACACGATCAGATAATCTTCTCACCTATCCCTTTTTGTAACTTATAGGGCAGAAGTTTTTGAAGTTAAGATAAACCGCCCTCCAGGTCTCTTTTCTGTGTATATATCTTATGGTTTTGCCGTCTTTATCTCGTTGGATACCCATGTCCAGGAAATGAAACTTCTCTTCTTTTTCATACTCCATTGTAAACTTAATATTAGGGTGGGCGCTGTTCAAGACTTCTAATACTTGAGATACATCATTGAAAGAATTACAAATAACGAAAGTGTCATTGACATACCTGTTATAGACGTTTGTCTGACTGATTTCGGATTTTAACCTTGTTTTTTTCTAGACTACCCATAAAAATATCTACCAGAATCAGACCCAAGGGGTTTCCCATGGCTACTCCGTCAATTTGGCGGTATAGAGTGTTGTTGAACTGGAACTGTACGTCTTTGGTACACATAAGTAAAAGTTGTTTGAGTTCGTTCTTGGGCAGAGGAAGAAGTTCGGCATGTTTGACTTGTGCGTTATACCGTGTATAAATTCATGTTAACTGTAATAGCATATAATCGATAAGATTTATGACTCAATTAAATGATTTTCGTGTAGCTGTGTTCTCTGAGCTGGATGGTTTAGTGGCGAAGCTGTCAATATTGTCCTAAACAAAATCCTCAGTGCATACTTCATTTTGAAGTAATATTTTAAGTAATCCGTAATAGTTGCGATATTTTTGAGGCCCACCATGTTACCTCCTTGAACACTGAATATGTACTAGTCATCCGTATTACAATGAGTTGATTGTGATGATGATTACATCATTAACAATAATAATAATATCAAATTAATCTTTTCTTCACATCATTGATAAAGGGGAACTATTTGTTTAAACGGAATCTGTTCTACTAAGTTCATAATTTCAAAGATATATTTCCGTTTGTCATGGTAGATTTTGCCACGAATTGGCATCAGTTATATAATTGTAGAGCTCAGAAAGGTTGTTTGGATAATGGTTAGACTTAAAGCAGTTGCCATTGGGTACATGGGCTCCAGAATCCAATCGGATCAAATGGCGTATGAACCCATATGGGTCACCGGAAACCATGGGAACGCTGCTCCGCTGCCTTTTAAATTAGACTTCAAGTCAAAGGCTCGGGGATGGTCGCTTAAGAAAACCACCTGCTTCGGTCTAGGCGCCCGGGCAGTATCTCAGCCGTCACACAACAGATGAAATGTGTGGTGCATCTTTCTTGGTGCCATATTGTACCAATTTTTTTCTGCGTTTAAATAAATAAATAATTGTAGAGCCTATTCATTCAATAGCTTGCTATTTTTTTATTATAACAAGGCATTAAGATTCATTCTGTCGTTTGAATGTACATTTGATTTCATGTCATCAGAAACTCCAGTTTAAAAGTTTTCCATTAATTGAACTATCGCACTGTTACATTCTTTTATATGGATAATTATTTTGTTTCAGTGACATTTCTGGTCATCTGTCTGATGGTGACAATACTGAGTCAGAGTATGATGAGGAGGAATCACTAACATCGGATACAAAAAAAACAGTTAATACGGATGCAGTTAAACAAACTTCCAGTGATTTACCGAATCGACCAATAAGTAAAGAGGTTAGTTGATGAAGTCTGCGCACTTTTTTTTGTCACTTTTTTCTATGCAATTCTCTTTTAAATTCTGTATATAGTTGTATATTCACAAACTCCATATGATTGGTAACTATTTGTTTGTTTGTTTGTCTTGAGCACCATATTTCTTACATTTTTGAACTTTTCAATTAGGACAGACAGCTAAACTGTTTGGTTTTATATGAGATAGTTGATGAATATTCAATCTGATCTGTAAAGAGTGTAAAGTCTCGTAGAAATTCCTGAGTTCGAAACCAACAAGAACAAGTATGTATAACTAGTATCCATTTTATTTCATCACTTCTCTTTAGCTGCATATAACATCTATGATAATTATAATACTTATCATGGAATGTCCAATGTAGTAAATCGATCATATTTAGTGGAGAACTGAGGAAATAAAATAACTTTAAGTTGTACTATTTCAATGTTTATACATGCCCTTTTTCAAATATGAAATCTTGAAGTTGTCGTGATATCTGTCAGAATAAAATACAGAGGACTTAGCATGAAATTGCACCATCTGAACTGACCACACAAAAGAAAGAGGTTATATTTGATTTTTTCATTTTTGATTTTTTTTTGATTTTTGATTTACAGCTTGATTCCACATTGTATTTTTGGTACAAGTATGGAATTTTCAGCATGGATATCGGTAGCCCAAATTTTCCAGGCCAACCATAGATATCAGGTGTGCGCCGGCGTGGGCTCGAACCCCGGACCATCTGCATGGTCGGCGAGAGTCCTAACCACTGTGCCACCGACGCACAGTGTTAAGATACCCAAAATTGTTGAATATTATTTTAAAGAGAAGGCAAGCATAATCCAATGAGGATAAATGAACATCTATAGGATTTTAAGACAATGTATACATTTACCTTAGTGTGAATAAACTTTGAACCATTTCATTTATTGATGTTTCATAATACGGTACTGGTACAGTTATTGTTAGACATTCACATCCAGGCATTGCTTGCTAATCGTGTTGAAGCAACTGCAAAACATTTCCTCAGAATATATCTTATCTGTCTAACAGAAATAATTGATTGAAGTATCCCATTTAATTTTGTTCATCTATTTTGCAGATGATGAGAAATAAAGGAATCGTAAAATATCGTCATAAAAGAGAACGTAATCCCAGAGTTCATCTACGTCATAAATTCCGTAAGGCTACAATTCGTTATCGGTCACGTGTTGCACCTGTTCGTAAAGAGGAAAAACCATATGGCGGAGAGTTAAAGGGAATACGTGTAAATTTAGTCAAATCACATAAATTTAAAAAATATTAGTCATTTTGTATTTTTGATTTCTTTCTGTCTCCTCTGAAATACATTTTGTCTATAAGACACGAATGCACTTAGAGGGACCGTGTAATGCTTTTCAGGTGACAATATGAATTAGTGTCTGTGTGTATCGATAATGCTTAAAACTGTTGATCTGTGATTCGTTCTATCAAACATGTAGAAGTAACTTGACAAATCCTGTAAACAACTTCATGTCATCCGCGTCACAATCTTCTTTGTCAAGGACTGAACCTCTAGAAATGATCCTGGGAACAGACAGCGAGAAGAATAGTATGTACACAAGCAATCACAAACGAATTTCACCTTCCTTTCGTTTCTGCTCTATTGATAAGAGGGAACAGGGGCTTATGTGAATTTGTATTACCTGTTTAAAAAAATATTGTTATTATTTCAAATATTACGTTTGGGTGTTTTACCGGTATTTCTCAACGAATATCTATCGTGTCTTTTGCCCCAGTACTCACGAGAACACCTTGCGATCTCCCTTATCCTGCCCCCAGGGAATGTGGATAACTATAGAGAATAGCAATCAAAGTCATGGACTTGGAAAAAACCAAACAGAATAGCCCCATGATAGTAATTCATCAATAAAAAAATGAACACAATCACTAGAAGGTATCGCAAACAACCTTTGATTCTTAGATAACCCTTGATTCAAATCCTAGAATCGATTCTAATTGAACAAATCAGGGTGAAAGTGGAAATCGCTTTGCGAAAAATTACGTAGGACGGATGTTATTCTGATCGACTTTTAAAGGCCACTCACTAGGTCCTGAGTTTAGTTGTTACATCTTATAGTTGTCGAGTTATGTCAGCAGTGTGACTACGAGACTAGGTTGCTTATTCTTTCTGGCTATCTGATCTTCAATATGAAGCCAACAGAAGCAGCTATTAATAAAAGTCTGAAGGTTATTTTAAGTGGTTTTGATAACACACGAAGTCTCTGGACGATATGGAAGCACTAACTGACTTATCACTGTTGTTGTGAATCCAAATCTTGTACCTAAGCCTACTTGGTTTTCAGAATAATGAATAACTGTTTTGCTTTTTCGATCCCGGCTGGCCTTGAAATGCACATTCATACCGCATGTAATTGAAACGATGCTGCCCAAATAAGTGAAACAAGGGACCTCTTTCAAATTCCTTTCCTTGACAGTGATTGTTGTGTCTGTCCGTCGTCAAGTGTCCTCATTACTGCTGTATGCTCAATGTTCATATGAAGCATCTTCGCTCCCTGTTTTGTTAATTGTTGGTTTCTGTTATGTACTGGTCGAGTAGTTAATAGTCCTGAAGCAAGAAGGCGGAAATCAGAAAACCCACAGGTTCACGATGATACTTGTATTTTTCAAACAACAAGGAAAATCAATGTCACACAAGTGTATGAGCGAATGTTCAAAAATGAACGAATCAATAGACAGTCCTAACATGATTGGTTGTCATATCATGTGACAACAAGGTCAGACATGTTTGTTTAGTTAGTGGACAGACAGAAACATTGCCAATTATGATGGAATATCGATCCATATATACATAGCAAAATATAACAGACTGTCAAAAACAAACACACATATTATGTGGATACATATCAGTTTCGCCTGTAGATCTTTGAGTTTATGTGACAGTAAACACCAGTCATCCGATAAACCCAAATCTTCCGGAGCTTTCATGTCTGCCCATTATATATCTGTCTTCTTATTCCTCTAAATTGGTCACATATCAGTCAACCACAATCAGGTATAGATAGGAGACAGGTTTGTCTTACTCTTATCTTCAATTTAAGGTCTGCTGTAAATTGCATGACATTGTGATATATCAGCTAAATGAGGTTGGCAAAGGTTTTGGTCAAACTGTGTGGAAGTATTTTCCAAATCACTTCACGGTTGTCACTATTGAAGGCCTATTCAGAAGCATAAGTTTGATTGTCATTTTAATGTTCTGTTCGATGGTGATGCGTAGTTGTTTGCTCTTCTTGAATCCTGCTTTTTCCGAGTGGTGTTTTCACCTGGAGGCAGGCATGACCTGATATATTGCTTGGTGTGAACAAAAGCGTGGTTCCCCACCGGTTCTTCCAAGGGCCTGCGTCCACATTCATTGATAGTTTAAAAAACAGTAGGTACCTTTCTTTCTAGTCCATCTGCATTACTGAGCTGGGAATATCCACCGAGCTCTCTGGATCCGTTTTCAGTGCTTCATGTGGGATTCTATCCGGTTTCGCTACCTTCCGGACTTTCAGTAGCTTGATTTAATTCAAGCTCTCTACTTTTGTTGTAGGACTGATGTCCACCGGTTCAACTGTGGTGGTGTTTCTAGTCAATTTGAGACTGATGGTCGGTCCAGGAGTCCTTCATAGTCATTGGAATACTACTTATCTTACTTCTGTTCGACAATGAGGTTCCCTTCAGTATCTCACATCAGTTTCGTCCATGCTGATCTCTTCCTGAATAGTGACCTGGTTATCTGATTTGTTGTTCAGGCTGCCGTTTTCCTGCAGGCTGTACTGCTTCAGATAACAGCGCAAAATTGTCTGTTGCCAATCCCAGCACTCTTTTACACTTCTTTATTAAGTGCGATGTGGAAGAACTCAACTCACCCTTCCGCTTTTCATTTTCGCACTAGTTTATTTACCTCTCCTTCCATATTTTATAAGTTTATTTCATATAACTGGGTGCATATTTACGCCTCTCCTCGACTTTTTTTGCAGCGTCTCCATTTTCTCGTTATGGAAATAATGTCTCTCTCGTTTTCAGTGTATTCATCGGTTGAAACCCATGTTCCTTTGAGGATGTTGATGTGTTCACACAATCATCTAGTGATTAGAGGCTCAGAAATTTAAGAATAGTTTTCCTTTCTCATTCATTTTACCAAGAGCCTCTTCAATATCATTATCAGCAGATTCCAAGTTCTTCATCTCTCGCTTAGATTTAAACGAGTTTCGTAGGCTCGCCATATTCTGGAATAGAACAGCGTAAACCATAATAAATATATCAAGCACGCTGGATAAGACGTGAAAAGCAGAACACAGACTCGGGTCGAAACTTTATATAATTACCAACCGAATCAATAGCAGAAGTCAAAGATATGTATACAAAAGAGCTAGGCTAACTGTTCAGCAACCACCGGGTTTCGAATTGACGCCTCCTTTTGAATTTGAACCACTGCCAGACCCCCTTGCTTCCCAAAAGCTGTCCCAAGCGACTTCATTCTTGCGTTCTCCCCGCCCGGCATCATCTTTGCAAGAGAAAGAGGTAAATGGTTATCAAAATAAAAGTAAGTTTTCCTCGGTGCCCGTCTGCTTGGTCTGGACGGTTTCAGGCGGTTGAAGTGCACTATCATTTTCTGAGGATTGTTGTTGTCTTCTTGGATTTCGTAGGTATTGTCAGTTACTCTGCGGTACACCACATATGGGCTTGCCCACTGTGCTTGGGCTTTATGTCGAATCCAGTTGTCAGTCGCTGGTTGACGCAGCCGCAATTTATCACCTATCTTGAATGTTGTTCCCCACTGCTTCTTATCGTAGTAGTGTTTCTGTCTCTTTGTGTTCTCTGGGTTTCTTGGCGTGCATAGTTATGATACCTGGCTATGTCTCTTCGCAACCTGATTATCATCTCCGATGTAGTTAGTGGATCATCCCACCGGGGTATAACCAATGTATCACTAGTCAGATGCAACTCGCGGCCAGTCCATAACAGGTGTGGTGTCTTTCCCGTAGACATGTGGGTGGTTCCTCGGTAGGCCAACAAGCATCTCGCTAACATGATGTCCCAGTCTGATTGTGATTCTCCTTCTAAGAAAACGCGTAGTAATTATTTAAGGTTCGTTTGATGAGCTCGACTAACACATTGTCTTCGTGATGGAACGTTGTGGTTCGTAACTTTTTAATTCCAAATAGATGTCACGATTCTCCAACCAAGATACTTTCGAAGTTGGTTGCTTGATCAGAATGCAGTTGCTCTAGTGCGCCCCAACGGGCAATCCAACAATCAAATATAGCTTTGGTTACTGTAGAGGCACCAATTCGCTGAAGCGGTACAGCTTCACATCATTTCGTAAAATAATCCACCATGATAAAGATATACTTCTTCCCAAGTGTGGCCTCACGCAAAGGTCCGATGATGTCTACGCCAATTACTTCGTTGGGATATCCAGCCTTCACATTAGAGAGTGGCTCCCTGGGTTTCCTCAGTGGGTTCTCCACTTTGCCACATGTTACACACCCCTGGGCGAAGTCTCGGACGTCGCGCCGTTGGCGAGGCCACCAGTAACGTTCAGTAACTGCTTGCAGCATCTTATCAATCCCAGCGTTTC